ATGTTTATGTTAAAACGCGTTTACTGGCCTAATATCTTCGTTAAATCCGTTTTAACCCATTAAATGTAAGAAAGAAACGTTCCACTCATTTACTCCTTAGATTTATCGAGTCAACGAGTTTCACAACATTGCTTTCTTCAATTCGTACCTTTGACACATCAACACAGCGTTTTTACCGTTTATCTGTGTGCATGGGTACATGCCGGTGTCTTGGATCTGATATGGGTTGTAACTAGCTATGAGAGTATGCCAGTGTCTGCACGGCTGTTGATGTATGTGACTCTTTATTGATGTTACTAAAGCGAAGAGCAATATTGACACTCACTCCAACACTCACACCGAGGCAAACAGGCATAGAAACACTCAGACTCACACCCACAGAATGATCTTACTGTGGCTGGAGGAAATGGAAAAGGCAATGGAATCAATCAACTCTCTTACCCATGGGGTTTGTATGTTGACGATGATCAAACAGTCTATGTCGCTGATACGTCGAATCATCGTATTGTGGAATGTAAATGGGGTGCGACGAGTAGCCAAGTGGTTGCCGGTGGAAATGGACAAGGAAGTGGGGCTCATCAGTTGTCTAACCCACAAGATGTGATTGTCGACAAAGAGAGAGAGATAGTCTCATCATCTGCGATCGTTTGAATGGAAGAGTGGTTCGATGGCCTCGTCGAAATGGGACAAGTGGAGAAACGATCATCTCGAACATCTATTGTGTGGGTTTGACAATGGACGAGAATGGATCTCTCTATGTCACTGACTATGGAAAACATGAAGTGAGACGATATCGAAGAGGAGAATCTCAAGGAACAGTGGTTGCAGGTGGCAATGGAAGTGGAAATCGTCTCGATCAACTCTCTCGCCCACAATACGTATTCGTCGATCGAGATCATTCAGTGTACGTGTCTGAATGGGAAAATCATCGTGTGATGAAATGGGTGGAAGGTGCAAAACAAGGCATTGTCGTGGCTGGTGGTCAAGGAAAAGGAAATGGTCTTACACAATTGTATGATCCTCGAGGAGTCGTTGTCGATCAATTGGGCACTGTCTATGTGGCTGATTGGGGGAATGATCGAATCATGCGTTGGCCCAAAGGAGCCACACAGGGAACTGTCATTGTTGGTGGAAACGGTAGAGGAGAACAATCGAATCAACTCAAAGGACCCATCGGTTTGTCATTCGATCGACACGGCAATCTCTATGTCGTCGATAACGGCAATGAATGGTATAGAAAAGGCCGAAAGAAAAAACGTCGAAACGAAAAACGTCGAAAAGAAAACATCGAAAAAAAACGTCGAATAATAAAAATATCGAAAAAAGAACATCGAAACTAAAAAGATCGAAAAAAAACGTCGAATGATGAAAACATCGAATGATAGTTATGTCGAAAAAATAAATATCGAAAATTTGAACATAAAATAGATGTGAGTATGGAGTACGAAACAGAGTCATGTAGAGTAACGCTTAAGTAGCGAGTCATAGAGTAAGGTAGGGTTAGCCTTGAGGAAGAAAAAGGGGATTCGAGATCTCGGTGGATGTTCATGGAACCAGATGAATCTGCTTGGCTCCATTTGATAACAAAGACCCATTAGAATCTATTAGAGTCCATAGATCCAAGAGTGCTGTTTTTTTTAGTTTTGGTTAGACTGGCCAGACGTGAAAAGCATAGAGCAGGGACGGCGCGACCGGGGATCCCTACTTGCTTTGGCAAGATCGGCCACAACTTTCTCCGAATTTAGGGGAAAGTAACCTCAAACTCAAATTTTCCTCGGTTTTCGGAGAAAATGACCTCAAATTTTCTTCAATTTGGAGGAAAACTGAGCTCAGATTTTCGCCAATTTTGAGAGAAAATATTTCAAATTTTCTCCGAGTTTCGGAGAAAGTGATCAAATTCTAAGCAGTTTTAGTTTCTCCTATTTTCGAAAATACCACCTGCTTTGACCTCTTCGCGCCTCCTCTGGCATAGATTAAGAGTGTAAAACTTTTAGGCCAGAAAGAGGATAGGGTACGGCAAAGCCTTATCCTGCAGGATCCTAGTATGAATATGGATGTGAATTTTCTCTTCATTGATACCCACAGTCTTTTCGACATTTTTATACATTCGATATTTTTTCTTTCGATATTTTCATCGTTCGATATTTTTTTTTCTATCTTTTTTATATCGACATTTTTATTTCGACTTTTTTTTTCGATGTTTTTTATTTCGACATTTTTTGTTTCGGCCTTTTCTATGCATACCACGGAAATCATCGAGTACAATAATTCAATATCGATTCAAATGCATAAACTATTTAGAGTAGATCTTGATGAAATGTGATGTCTCTCGGAGAATGAACCACTAAAGAGGCGTCCGTGTGGGTGTCTGTGTGAAGTGTTGTGGTGGGTGTCAGTCTATATTTATGTCATGATTTGTTTTCGTAGCTGTTGCTAAAACGAAGAGTAACATTGACGCCCATGTATATTTTTAGTCTTTCGGAGTTTTTATAATTGGCATTAAAGTCGACTCGGACTAAGTGTTAGCCGTAGTCGGAATTGTGACTTCCAGTTGGTGAAAACTTTCAATCCAAAAGGAAAATAGTAAAAAGACAAAAAACATCTACATTGGGCTAGTTATCAAAAATGACTAGTAATGAGAAAAGTTCAGTACCACTCGATATCTCCGTTGATGTGGCTAGATGTATCTTCATGTTCACGCACTTTTCAAATAAATGTTTTACTTCAATGTTCACGCATTATTGATGCTGGATAAAATTAGTTTTTTTTATAAGGTGCTCTTGATTTCCGAAATTGTCTCAAATACACTACGTTTTTCTTAAGAAGGTGGGGTTCATGAAAACCTCGTGGAAGCTATCGCGAGCTTCACCTATGTTTTGTGTTTGCTTCACGTAATGGTTTGACAAAGTGGCCTGTTTTTTTAATTAAGTTTAAAATATCTTTCCATGACATTCAATTAGTACTCATTACGAATAGATTTGTTCGATAATAGAATTTGACGTTGAATCAACTTGAATTCTTCTCTCTCGCATATAAACGATACTGGTCTGTTCGTTGACAATACTCTGAAATAAAATTTAATTTGTAATGGTACTATGAACTTACGCCACATAATATTCTCGTACAAGTAAGCTATCATTAATTTACAAAAGGGAATTTCAGAAGTTTTAGAAGCTGGTATCTCGATGAATTTTCCAAGTGGGAGTGAAGTCAGAGTAGAGAAACAATGTGACTCTGCAAATCTCTAATCTTAACTGACAGAACCAGTCGTTCATCAAGCTATTATGTTTCTCGCATCATAAACAGACGCAAAAAGATTTAAAATTCATTCTGTTACAGTTTTTCATCGGGTTTGTTTATTTATACAGTCAAAATAAATATGTTAAGCTAACAAAATTATCTCATCATTCAATAAACATTTCATCAGATGTGCGAACTGATTTCAGTCACAGTTACAAGCAGTAAGTCATAAATACTTTCCTAAAAAATGAAGAAAATATGACCAAGATTAATCGCTTTCGTAGTATTAATGAATAACAACAAAGAATCTCTCGAAATTGAGACTTCAGAAATGTTTCGAGTATTTACGATTGCAACGAGTAATCAAAGCTAGTTATTCCATAGGTTTTCCTGTCATCGTGTACGTTAAAGTTCGATCAGTTATGAGCATTCAAAATTATATCGAGCAGGTGATTCAGCTTCTGATAGATTTTGAGCGATAGAAATATGTGCGAGATCCCAAAAATGAGTCTCCGATCGGACGAACTTCTCAAAGTCTCCATACTCGATGATAACAGAGGGGTTTAAAATAGAACAGAAAGAGCGACAATTGTTTATTTCAAACTTCCCATACTTCATTGCATCCGTCGTATGCTTTTAACGGTCTGCTTAGCGATGTTCAATCATGCTCCAAAGTTTCCTTTCGTTTCGGTATTGTCACAATCGATTGACATTCATCCCAATGCTCGATGGCAACAAAATGGTGTCACTGTGGCTGGAGGAAATCGGCAAGACAATGGAATCAATCAACTCTCTTATCCATATGGTTTGTATGTTGATAATGATCAAACTGTGTATGTCGCTGATCGATCGAATCATCGTATTGTGGAATGGAAATGGGGTGCGACGAGTGGCCAAGTGGTTGCCGGTGGAAATGGACAAGGAAGTGGGGCTCATCAGTTGTATAACCCAAGAGATGTGATTGTCGACAAAGAGAGAGATAGTCTCATCATCTGCGATCGTTCGAATAGAAGAGTGGTTCGATGGTCTCGTCGAAATGGGACAAGTGGAGAAACGATCATCTCGAACATCGATTGTGTGGATTTGACAATGGACGAAAATGGATCTCTCTATGTCACTGACTATGGAAAAGATGAAGTGAGACGATATCGAAGAGGAGAATCTCAAGGAACAGTGGTTGCAGGTGGCAATGGAAGTGGAAATCGTCTCGATCAACTCTCTCGCCCACATTACGTATTCGTCGATCGAGATCATTCAGTATACGTATCTGAATGGAGAAATCATCGTGTGATGAAATGGGTGGAAGGTGCAAAACAAGGCATTGTCGTGGCTGGTGGTCAAGGACAAGGAAATGGTCTTACACAGTTGTCTTGTCCTCAAGGAGTCGTTGTCGATCAATTGGGCACTGTCTATGTGGCTGATCAAGTGAATGATCGAATAATGCGTTGGCCCAAAGGATCTACACAGGGAAGTGTCATTGTTGGTGGAAACGGTAGAGGAGGACAATCGAACCAACTCAATGAGCCCATCGGTTTGTCATTCGATCGACACGGCAATCTCTATGTCGTCGATTGTGGAAATCATCGAGTACAAAAATTCAATATGAATTCAAATGGATAAGAGTTGCTTAGATAAGATCTTGATGAAATATGCATTCTTTTTCTAAGTACGATTCATTGAATAAACGAACGGATTTTTAGGATGCTGAAAAAATGGGCAGTCTGGTTTCTCTTGGAATGCATTTGCTGATCTTTGTATTCTGAATGATCGTACATTAGTGAAGAGTGTTCAATATGAAGGAGAGATTGAAGAGGACCAATAATAGAAATAATGCATAGAGAGCACGAAAATAAAAAATTAGTTTGCTTCTAGAATGGTGTACGAAACATCCTGGAGTCTTTTAACGGAAAATGTGCACTACGGAATCAAAGTGTTTTTAGTTCAAAAATTATGTTTTATTACTGGATAGACGGTCATCATTTTTTGTTTGGTTCACAATTCGTTAAATGTCAACAGTTATTCTTCTCTAGCTTTGTTGTCTATTTACTTTTTTAGATTTAGTTCATCGTTTATCATATCATTGTTTTTATTTAAGTTTTTTTGTTTGTAATTTTGCTTTAGATTTATTTCATGATTCATGATGTTTCGTAGGCTTATCGACCGTTAGGGCTAACCACTATACGAATTAGTTTCTTCCATATCCGTCGGTCTTGTGCTAGGTAGAACAGGTCTTGTCCGCTGAGTCCACATCTGTCCGTGATATCGTCGAGTCATTCTCTCCATGGACGTTCTCTTCGCGGTTTTTCATTCATGTTCACGAATACTGTATGTTTGATCAGCCTGTTATCGCCAATTCGACAGATATGACCGAACAATTTTTATTACCTTTTCTTGATGATGTCTATTATGGTTTCTTCTTTCAATATCTTTTTCCTTATGTCTTCATTTCGAACCATATCTTTCCAACTAATTCTTAGTATCCGTCGGTAGCATCGCACTTCAAATGTGAGTGGTTTCTTTTTGTCGATCTCTTTTAGAGTCCATGTTTCTGAAGCATTTAGCAGCACGCTGAAGACACATGTTGTCAGAAATTTGAGTTTATTTGCCACTTTCAGTGTCTTGTTGTTCCATATGTGTTTCAGGGAAGCCAGTGCACCTACCACTTTACGTATTCTCCTTTTCATTTCTTCTGAGCAGTTGTTGTCTTATGTGAGTAGGCTACCCAAGTATTCAAACTTCTCAACGTTTTCTATGGTCTTTTCTGCTATTTGGATCCCGTTTTCAATGTTTTTATCTCCGAATACCATTGTCCTGATCTTGTTAGTGCTCACGATGAGTACTGGCTATTCGACAGCTTTTCTGATTAGCTCGATTCGGTTTTGCAAGGGTGGGTCATACGAAGTAAAATAAAACACGTTGTTGTGCTGATATGTTCGAATGTTTGCATGCACGTGTTTAGTCATGTGTTAATTTTCTTCGTACACTTTTGGGAAAATATCAGAGGTTTTGGTTATATTGTGCTTGATCTTTACCTAATGAGATGATTCCAACGTCTAACTCTCGAACAACCAAAGTTTTTCAATTGGGTACTTTAGCCAATCAAATATTTGGACTATTCAAATCTGAGGCATGCAGGTTCTTTTATGGTGGGAAATTCTGCCAATCAGATGTTTTTTTGCATATAACTGTTTCCCAATGAGGTTTTTTCATGCTTAGTGTTTAGCTTATCAGATCTTCTCGCTATCCGGCTCTCAGCCAATGAGATTTTTACAAGGAGGAAACGACTGACTTTTGTGTCTTAAGTGACTGCTAAATCATAAAAGCCATGAAAATCATATGAAAGTTCAAGCAACTGAAGAGTTAGCTGAAAATCATCAAAAGAAGCGCATGTATTATATCAGATTTCGAAAGTCATCGAGAGTCAATAACAACAGAGTTTACATATTAAATGCTGACAAATTTTATTTGTAAAGAGGTCAACTTTGAAAAATGTTTATAGTTATCAATTAACATCTTTCAACTCAGCTTAGCACAGGGTAGCTGAGAACACAAGAAAAATACTATATGTTTGATTTTTATGTGTATAGAAATACTAGTAAAGAATAAAGAATAACGGATTTTTATTCAATATCGACGACGTACTGTATCAAATGTTTTCTTTCCATTCATTTCCGACGAATATACATACAAAACAGACGAAAAAAGAGATCCATATATATAATTCGTTTATGCTAGGCACTAATTAGTTTCAGCTTTTTAATTTCTATGCATATATACCGTAGTCGTTGTTACTCGTTTTATATACGAATAAGTTTTTAATTTTATGGCTTCTCGAACATTATTTTTAGATACTAAAGTGTTGCCTTCTGATTTGCTCACCTATCATGATGATGACTTTTACAATCTTATAAATCAGCTCGTCGGTCCAGATGAAGTAGCATTACTCAAGATTCAAGGTATTCGAACAGTTAATACATTCTTAGATATATCCAATATCTTCGATATTGTTAATATCGATTCTGAAGAAATCGATGATATTAAAACAAAAAGTTGTTTTATTCTTAAGAATGATAGCTATGTTATCAGACCAGGTAGCAAAGCCTCAATTGAATATTTACGTGATTTATTTGAAAAGAAACAAGATGAAATACTGAAGAATACAAATAGCAAATAATGGAGTATATCAAATGTTTCTTCAACCACCATTACTACTCCTGATTCTTCTCTTCAGACGATTACTTCTACTAATGCTACTATTCAACATTCAACAACTATGGTAGGAACAATAGAGACTATCGATCATCGCTCCTACATTATACAGTCAATGAATGAATGATGTTTAAAACATGCTGATGAAATAGGTATTTCTGATTTAAAACTTATTGAAGGTACCGATTATCTATTTACATTATCTTCTCCTTTTGATGATTTGGCTCATATTCGTTATGGCTGTCGTGTTTCAGCTCGACTACCAAAACAAGGAAGAAAATTTTCAATTGCCTAATTATTATCGTCATCTGAAAGGGAGAACATATTCAATGCTTAAAGCAAAACAACAAAAAAAGTAATGTTAATGTTAATCCAAGCAACGACACTAGTATTCATGAAAAGACATCTTCACAACAACAAGCTACAACAGAATATACTCCAATGTTGTCTTCTGATTCTACTAAATCAACTCGTTCCAAACGGTCTTCATCGTTCTCAAACATCAATCAGTCAAAAAAAACGACGAAAAAATGGATTAAATTTGAATAAAAGATTCATTTATGTAAACGTATTTTGTTAAATTGTCTTTCTTTGTTATTTTTATGTTATTGTTCATTTATGAACTATTTATATATACTTGTTTTCTTTTATATGTGATTTTTTTGTAGTTACATATTATAAGTTTATTCATAGTTAAACAAAACTTTATAGATCATATTCTAATAAAGATGATGCGGCTAAAAATGATCCTAGGCCAAACATACTTTGTGGAAAAAAGATAACATAATTACTCATATTGACAATGGTTTATCTGTAGCGAATAGAAAACTACTCTATCTATTCTTTCATTCAAGAGTAGAGCTGAAAAAGTATCAAGGAACAGAACGATGGAATGAATAGTCAACTTGTATATGTCATTTTATATACATTGGAGTTTATATCTATTCATTTTCATTTTTCTACTGAGTGCGAATAAGAATTCTCGTTATCGACTTATATAACTATACTTACTCTCAAGTTGATTTTTTCTAATCAATATCAAGTCTTATGACTCAAATATTGACACATATGGTGCCAGCCGATGACTTTCTG